ATTTCAAATAAAATTTAATATTGAATTTTTGAATAATGTGTTATTTCATTTCTGTCATGTAGCAACCCTAAGTAATGTATATGACATTGGAAAGTGATGTGACGTACCAGGGGTACAACCCATGAGTAAAAACTTTTTCGTTAGAATGTTAAATATGTTGAATAGTTATAATTGATAAGTTGTAGAATTTAATGAAAATCTACACACAAAAAAAATGTAGATATATTTTATCATTACTTTCATTTGTATTATGCATATTTACTTGAAGTATTTCATTAGAAATTATAATTTATAATAGAAAGTTTACTGTTAAAAAATTTAAAATGAAAAGAACATTCAAGGATTTTATTTTTCACTAGATGTATAAAAATTAGAAATACAATGAATATGAAATNTTCATTTGTATTATGCATATTTACTTGAAGTATTTCATTAGAAATTATAATTTATAATAGAAAGTTTACTGTTAAAAAATTTAAAATGAAAAGAACATTCAAGGATTTTATTTTTCACTAGATGTATAAAAATTAGAAATAACAATGAATATGAAATGTTAATATGAATAACAGAGTATTTATACTAAAAGAAATAAATAAAAACACTGTATTTAAATGTATTTAACATATATATTATATAACACTATAATTTGACAGTTTATTCTCATACATGTATCTCTTGTCAATTATCAATAATCAAATAAAAAGATGTGTATTTTATCATCTCTTTTTAATTTCTATATATACACATAAATTTAACTTAACTGAATATGTATTAATTAAAATAACATTTGAATTTCATATACAGTAGAGCGTCGTTTATCCGAAAGTCGGTTATCCGAAACATTGTTTATCCGAAAGCATTCCAGTCGGCAAATTTTAATTTTCGCTAGTGCTGTGGCGCTGCAATCTTTGGCTATATCTTGGGCTACTCCAATATTTTTTTGTTGGTGTGTGTTTTAGCTGGCAGCATTGGCACTTTTGTATGGTGCTTTTCTGAGGATTGTGNCGTACTTATATTTATTATATTAATATTAGATAATCGTTGGCCATGTAAAACTTATTATTTTTACTTATAATGTTGTCTAATTCAATATTCACTAGTGCTTGTGAAGATGATAGTAAGAAAACTCGTCTGATGAGGGTGGCAATGACAGCATTAACATATCATAAAGGCCGAAAAGCCTCTGCTGGAATAATATGTGGAACCATGTTAGATTTGTAGTGGACTGAGAGTTGTGGTCCTTTAGGAGATTTACATATGTGCAAATCTGAGAACGTTATTGCTGCATCTTTCTCTTTCTCCCAAGTAAATATTATGTAACTTACTGCGCGTTTAATTTCGAACACATTTGAATATTTGTTGCTTGTTCCTAACAGTCTTGTCAAAAATTTTAATTTTGAATTATATGTGTTCTGCTCTTTATTGAATTATTTCTGTTTGTTTTTATTAAATTTCTGTATTTGCCTGACAACAATGACAATAGGATCATCGAAAGTACTTGCGATAAATGAACATATAATGCTGATCTCAGTGATTTTTTTATCCTACTTTGTACTACAGTATACTTGTGATACTATACTTATGATACGATACGCAAGTATACTATACTTGCGATAAACGAACATATAATACTGATCTCAGTGATTTCTTCGTCCTACCATACAGTATTTGGTGTGAATATCAACCCGTTGATTATATTGCTGTTAATTGAAGAAGGTCAGTCAAACTGATTGAAAATGTTTTTAATTTTAATAAATACATTGCTAAGATTAAGAAGGTGATTTTTGTTTTTTTAACATTTTTTTCTAGTTTAATACCACCATTTCGAAACTATTTCTCTTGTTACTATCTTTTGAAACTTCTGATAATGATTATTATGATATAAATTTAAGAATTAAGTTATAAAACCCAAATTTTTTGAAATGGAAAAAATACATTAACAAAGCATTAATTAAATTTTTAAAATTATCAAAAATAACACAAATAATTGGCAAGTTATGCTAAACACTGGTGAAAATCAAATGACTAGAACAGATTTGAAATAAGTTTGTTTGATTGATGATCAATAGAATTGAAGAATGTCTGTTTCCCTGTCTGTTAGAGTAATTTTGTAAAACTTTAAATCAAGGAATTGAAGGATATTTTAATGATGGTAATATGGATATAACATACTGAAAAAAAAATATTTATTGGCTATTCCAAGCAATCCAAAGCCTACTGAATTTGGATGCCAACTCAGAAAAAGGTAATTGCAACCCAAGATGTTAAATTCTTTGGACTGAAAACGTCAAATGAAAATTTTAAAGGATTCATCTCCAGAGAACATTCTTCACAAGAAAAAGAAGCTGATTGTTATGAAGTGATTACTCAGTTAACCAAACCTCCATCCTTAACCATTGAATAAGGGGAAGAGAACACCAGTCAAGCCATCCAACAAGTCAGCAATGGAAATGAAATCCACAGGGATCATGAATTAAAGAGTGGTCCAGGTCATCCACACCAAATCAAAACTGGCTTGAAAGGTAGACCTTGCAAACTTTTCAAAATGGTAGTGACTAAATCAAATTTGCAACACCAAACTGAAGAACAATATTTACAGAATGTAGAACTAATCCAAGAAAATGTCCAACAAGGGAATGATACAACAGGATTTGCCTATAGCATTCAACACTGAAATCTCCATCAAGGATGCTCTTTAAAGCTCACTAGCTCAAGAATGGAAAGATGCAATCAGAAGTGAGTTCATCTCTATCATCAAAAACGATACATGGCACCATGGCACATCACCAACCGCCCTCCTGGCAGAGATATTGTAGGTTGCTGCATTGTCCTTAGCAACAAATACAATGTAGATGGCACTTTTGAAAGATGAAAGGCAAGGTTGATAGTGAAAGGTTACGCTCAGCACCCTGGAATCAATTTCATGAAACCTTTGCACTAGTTGCAAGGATCAACTTTATCTAAACTGTCCTCATCATTGTAGCCAAACAGCATTTACTCATCAACCAATTTCAGTGTTGGACATGAAAACAGCATTCCTTAATGGAAACATTGATCAGGAGATTTTCATGCACCTGCCAGACCAAATCGAAATAATCCTAGAAGATATAATTAAAAGCTCAAATGGACAGATTCAAACCAAACCAGAACAAATGCTGCACTTTATCCATGAAGACAAGAAAATCTGTCAACTTAAAAATGCTCTCTATGGTCTACAACAGGCAAGTCTCCTATGGTATAAAATGACTGGTTGATGAACTCAAATAACTAGGCTTAACACCATTAAACTTTGATCCCTGTGTCTATGATTGAATTGAACAGAAGAACTTAACCTTTGTCATCATTTGTGTCGACAACCTCATAATTGCATCGTGTGACAAAATTTAAAAAGTCAAACTAAAGAAGACTCCAAATTTGTCCAAATTTGACAGGCAAGACCTGGGACCACTTCACTATTGCTTGGGCATTGAATTTGTCCAATGAGAAAAGGAGGAGGAGAAGACTATAATTCACATGTGCCAAAAGAAATATATCAAGGAAATCTTGGAACATTTCTCAATGGAAAAATCGAAACCAGTTGCAATTCCTCTTGACCAAAACTCAAAACTTCAAAGACCTGAAGATCCATCAGTTCAGGAAATGAAGAAATTCTCATTTCAAAAACTAATTGGTTGTCTTCTTTATCTTTCTACCTGCACCAGGCCAGACATTGCACATGCAATAAGCAAACTGGGCCAGTACTCAACATGACCACACACACTGGACTGCAGCAAAACATATCCTTCAATATCTAAGAGGGACAATCAATCTTGGCCTGACATTTGAGATAACTGGAGAGCCTCATACAGGATTCTCAGACTTTGACTGGGGAGCATTGATAGACAATTGCCATTCCTTCTCTGGCTACATCTTTATGCTTGCTGGTGGACCAATTTCATGGGAATCAAGAAAACAATGCACAGTTGCCTTATCAAGCTCCAAGGCCAAATACATGCACTAAAGAAACTCTATACCTACAAGAGCTTTTTGATGAACTCTTCAGAAGCAATAGATCCAAATTAATCATTTATTGGGGCACAATTGCTTGCTCAAAATCCAATGTTTCACTCATGGAGCAAACACATAGACATAAGACATCATTTCGTACGTGAATGCATTGAACGAGAAAGAATAAACATTGCATTTATTCCAACAAATAAGATATCTGCCACTCTTTTAATAAAAGGCTTACACTGCCCAAAACATGCTAAGACTTTTAAATGTGAAGTAAATTTTATAAGTCATGTATCAAGGTCACATTCATTATTACACCTTAGTCTGTAACTTAGTAAGCATCCACTTGGAATGAGGGAAAGTGTTGTTGAGAATATTGTGGTGCACTCCTAGGGACCAACCAAGCTGTTCATTTCTTTACCTTGCTACCATACTCTGCATCAACTACAACACACACACACACACACACACACATATATATATACACACATCATGCTGAGACTAAAAGAATAGCTGGTTGAGCTGTGGAAGGCCATGGGTGCTAAAGTCGTGCACAGGGAATGACTGGTATGGTTATATCTAAATTAATAGCTCTAGAAACAAAGATTGGACTGACAATGTGAAGATATGATGCAATTTAAAAATGTTAGTCAAAAGGATTAAAATATTGTTAAAGGGATTTCCTAATGTAAAGAGTTTGTTTATTTTTAGTTACAGTTTTTCACCTGTCAATTATCAATCTTTAAGCAAAATAGTCCTAATAATCCATCTGTTTCTATAATTTGATCAGTCTGGGTTTTTATAAATCAGTTTATAAATTTAAAACTTTAATCATACAAATATATTACAATATTTTGACTATTTTAGTAATAATAATTTACAATCCTACCAACTGTTTTTGTAACACTATTGAAGTATCATAATTGGAACATTAATATGTTGAACATTTATTGTTATAATTTTTGTAATAATAGAAAATGAAAATAATAAAGGAAATGAAAACTAAACTTTAAAAATAATTATTAGAATTAATTTTCTTAAACAATATGCCTTTTAAAATTTAAGATTATATCATATTTTATAGGAGTCAAAACAGCGCCCATACAAAGTATGGAGCTGTGACAGACAAAAAAGGAAGGCTGTCATGGCATCAACACTTAAAGAACTGAGGGAAAGAGGTAAATGTTAATCGTATTTATTTTCTTCAGCTTTTGTTTCTGTAATTCCTTCTGCATTAAAATAAAATGTTTTTGACAAAGAAAATATTTTTAAAATTCTTTTGTAAAATTTAGTATTACTTTTTTAAATTGAATACAATTAAATTTTTTGAATTATTATTATTATTTTTTTTGTTGTTGAATGTTTAGTAAGACATAAAAATGCAGAAAGATGTACATACATATAAAACCAATGCATTCATTATTTGATAATCTGAGTAGTAATTTAAAATTTCAAAATTACATAATTATGAAAGGAATTTATTTTATAAGATAGCCTCATTTCCATCAAAAGATTTTAAACCATTGTATATTATTTACTCTGTATATTTTCATCATTTTTCTGATTAAATCATAAATTAATAATGATGATAAATCATTATCTGAATATATATCTTGCCACATTCTTTAGTGTAATTTTCATTTTCATTTTTATTGTATCGCTTATAAGTTGTTGTTATTTTACACACAGAAAAGTAATAAAAAAAAAATATATTTCATTTTCAAATAATTTTTTAGCTTCTTTATAGTCATATTGTCCAAAAAAATGATATATTCAAATTATCAAATAGTGCAATTTCTTCCATAATAGATTTGTTCTATAACACAGGATGATCAAAAAGTCACTGTACATCTCTTTTATCATTTGTTATATAGTTAGATAATGACTTTTTGACCACCCTATATAAAGTTAATCTAATAAAATGCTCTTTATTTTACTTTGTTACTTTTTTTATTAAAATTATTCATATTCAAATTCCTTGTGCTATTAAACAATGTCTGATTTTTTACTTTCTTAATTCCATAATTTGATATCATGTTAATATAAATGTGATACATCATCAATTTATTAAATGAAAAATTTTAACTGCTTAAAAAAAAGTTATAATGTATATTCAGTTTTTCTCTTACAAAATAATATCTGTACTGAAATACGATAATTTAAATTTTCTTGAACATTCTGCACAGATTGATTCAAATAAAATTAAAACTGAAAAATTTAAAGAAAATTGTTTTCAACCGAAAATGAAAAAAATATCCTGACATCACTGTTAAATTTAAAACAATTTCTCGTTTTATATCGTGTAACAAACAATATTTTATCGTAATTTTGATTAACACTTCTAATTATTTTTTAATCAAACTAGAAACATTAATCAAAATTTATTTCAAGAACATTTATTAAAAAATTATTTAATTGTATGTATACAAATGTATATTTTATTGCAATTTTCTTTTCATTCATCTACAGGAGTGTAGATCTTTCCTGATATTTTTAAGATAGGATTTTGTTTGTTTTATATATATATTTATGTATGTACGGTATGTACAATTTTTTTTTTCGTTAAACTCTTTTTGTCTTTTGATCATTTAGATATTTTAGTAAATAAACAGATCAGAAAACATAAGTTTGCAAATCACATTTTATAATTAAAACTGTTTAAAAACTAATATTGAAGAGTATTTTAATACAATGAATTAGTTTCATTAATAAAAGTGTACACATTCGTGACAGACCTTTCGTTGTTGGCAATTACCTGAATTGGAACTTTTTACCTTCCCTGTTGAATCAAACATTTAAAAAACTGGATTATTTTTGGACTAAAATTAAATTAATTAATTAACTTAATTAATAATTAAATAGTTAAATCGTATAAAATAAGTCTTTAAGTCTAAAGATAGACAGTTAAATCATTATCTCATGCTAAGATCAATCATTTTGAATTTTAATTAAATAATTTAAATTATAGAAAAGATTGAGCCAAAGGAAGACTCAAATTTATAAAGCTGTGATTATTTTTAGACTGGAATTAAGCTAATTTATAAATGTTAATAACTGATTTAAAATAATCTGTTTATAGACACATTTGGCTATTAAAATCAGGCTATGGCTTATTGTATTAAAACCATTATAGGGCTTATTGATCTGTTTAAAATCAAAAATGCCAAACTTCATATATTAAATAGTGTTTTAAAATTATTCTGCATTTTATAATAGCTTAAATTTTCCTTTTTAATATGAGTCATAATGATACATTATTTATATACTCAATTAAAGATAGAATAAAGAAAATATAGTAAAGGATTTTGTACAGATATTTAAGCTGATTGAGGCTTCAGTTTAATAGTTTACATAATTATATTAATGGAAAGAAGAATCAGGAAATCTAATTTTATGATGGATTCAGATCTTAGAAATAATGTGCACAAAATCACAGCATAAAATGATTTTTAGGTCATTGTTTTCATAAGGAATTCTAGCATAATTAATGATTATGTTGAAAATAATTTTCAGATATGCATTTTAGAACAGTATAATTTAAAAAAAACAGCATATATTTATTAAATTAATTAATTTAGTAATCCTGACAATATTACATAACAAAATCAGATTTTATTTCCTGATCTGGATATGATTATTATTAATCTCAAGTTATCATTTTTCTTTTACACTTATTTCTTTATAATGAATATTTTGGAGAAATCAATGACTGGAATAATCTGTAACTTTCAGATGATGGCATTTCGTTTCGTGTATAAATATCTTCAAGCATGGAATATGGGTTTTAAAGTCTTATGAAATAAGTCTTAAATTTCTTTACTTATTAAAATTAGATAGTTGTATAAAGTTGTTGTTAATTGTTTAAAATTAAAAGATGAATTAAAAATACAAAAATCTTTTGGCCCATTACTTTTACTTAAATATTTTCGGTGTGTGTCATTATTATTCATTAACAAACTGTTTGCATATTGGATTCATGAATTCAGCTAAGATATTCTTTAATCAGTTTAATTTAATAGGCAAAATATATTTTGAAAATCAAATTTTCTAGTAAAATTACATTTAAGATTATTATTATTACTACTTATTATCTTAAGATAATATGCTGAAAACATTTTGAAAAATAAATGCATTTGATTTTCACGTAAATAGTTAATTTTATTTATATTATTTTCCTATTTAATTAATTTGCAATACAGTTCTATAACATGTAATAGGTTTTTCAATACATTGCGGAAATACCGCAACTCACTGAAGCATTCAAATGTCTTAAATTTAAATAATTATAAGATGATAGAATATAAATGGTAGACTTTTCAGAAAACGATGAATATATTCTGAAATTTCCACCAGTTTCCGGATAATTTAATGATTATGCAATATACATATACCTATGAATATACTTAAAAATATTATGTATTTAGTGTTTTGCAAACATCCATTTATTTTTACAATTCTCTTTATTTATGAAACACAACATTTGATAAAAATTATTCTTAAATAGAAAATTAATAAAATCAGATACAAAATATAAAGAATATAGACATTTTCTCTTTGTTAAATAATTAAATTTCTGTTTTCTCTCTTTCTTTATATTTACTAAGTCAATATTTTCGTTTTAAATTGATCTTTTATTATTTAATTACTATTAATAGTAAAATAAAATAAAATATAAAAAATTGTTAATATGTAAATTCGTTTTTTATCAGTTTTTCAAATATTTTATTATTATTATTTTTTTAATTATGCTTATGAATTCAACTACCATTATGAATTTTGGAATTACTGGTTTAGTTCCTGTATGAATGAATCAAAATAGTAATTTCGAAGATTCTAAACCAATAATTATGTAATGTCAATTTAATAATGTAGTTTTATTCATCTTTAAAAAAAAAAAAAAAAGGGAAAAACAGTTAAGCGAAAAATAATTTTCATTGAGCCATGCACCAATTTTTCCAACAAATTTCATGCAATTTAGTCAATGAAATGAATGAAACCAATCACAGTATCATTCTCAAACTAAATCAACTAAATAATTTTAATTTTTTATTTAGTTTTAAAATGTCTTTGGACAAGAATAACATTGCCACTATATGGCAGTTCATCTGTAAGGGACAAAAGAAATATTGGTTGCATCCACACAACAGAAACAATATTGATCATAACTATTTTTCTGCTGTCATGGAATTGTAATAGGATCATAGAAACTTTCAAGCATTTTATAAAATGAGAAATAAGAAAAATTCTCATCTAGTTTAACAAGTTCACTTGGCAATAAGAAATAACTGAATCTAATGTGAAGTGCCCAAGTGGAAGAGAGATTATTTACAGATGCAGGTAAGTAGAAAAGTTTTTATTTATTAATACATCTAAAACTTAATTCACCTTTTTCTTTGTAATTAAATATATTGTATGTAAATAATATGTTATAATTGTGACAATAAATTGACAACCAATGTTGAAGTAATGACTATCAAACTATTGTGTTGTTGAGTTATGTGAATATTCATTGGATTTGATTCAATATTTAGATAAAATTTTATATAATTTGGAAAAGTAATAACATTGAAAATTTTATTGAAGCTTAGTCATTCTAACTGAAGCTACAAAGAGTAAGAATAAGTCCGAAAATGAAATACTATGATTACTTTCAGGAAGTGGTTCATTAACTAGCTGGCCACGTCAAGAGAAAAATTGCAAAAACTAAAATCTTAGCTTACATCTTCACTTAGTTTTTTTTCTCACAAGGTTATAATTACTTTAAATTAAACAAAACTTAAAACAAAAATGAAACAGTAAAAGAGAATCTTTGATACTTATGGGTTATACTTCATCAAGTCATGTCTCACTTTCCATTCTTACATCATTATGCTCTGAAACATCGCTTACAAAACAACGTAGACGAATTTTTATGGTTGACCAAATGAATTAACTCGATTTCACACAAATCAAAGTTTTAATTAAGGTTAATTTGTTTTAATAACATTTAAGAATATATTTTCGTGAATACATTCAGGATAACTGTTTTTTAAGATCTCAAACATACCATTCAATGTTTAATATTATGTATTAATATGTAAATTTTTCTTTGGCTGAGAATTTGTGTTTATGGAACATGTTGTTGAGAATGGATAAGTCATTCAAGTTTTGTCAGCATCTGAAGTTGATGTTTGTATTC